GTCTGCACATGGAGGATATGACTGTAAAGCTGTATCTTGTGCATGAATGTAAACAGCAGTGTTCTCCAGGTGATGCTTGGAGGTTACAACATCCATAACTTTGAGTGGAAATGACAAATCTTGTGGTTAGCACTAGTAGCTCTGTGTAATTCTAATGTTACCATTCAATTGTGCAACATAAATTTTACTCATTATGGAATAAGATCTCAACTGTGACCATTTGGTCAGAAAATAGCTTACAATCTAGTAAAAGTAATTGTCCATCATCCATAAGCAAGTATGCACACTGTGTTTGTACATATTAAATAAATATTTTTTATTGTATTTATATACAGTTGTGTTCAATTTCTTTATTTTCTTGTCTCAGTTACTCTAATAAATCGGAATCGCTTCATGATAAATGTCTTGTCTGATCTCCTGCTGTTCTGTGGTCTTATCTTGTAGCTCACAGGAAAATCTGTCAAGTCTGAGATAAACATAAATCTAGAAGAAGGAGAAACTTTGGATGCCATTACCACAGAATATTTTATTGTTGGGTTTTTTGTTTTCTGCTGGAGTGTGTATTACCCATTACTCCTACTCCTGTGCTTTAGCTTAAAAAGGTTTCAAAGTTATGGAAATGGTACTTTCATAACTTGAAGAACTTACAAACAAGCAGAAGAGTCAGTTACAGAAGAGAGATGGTTATTTCAGATTGTTGTCAGGTCTAGGAGAAGACTTCTCCTGGACATTGGACTTTCACCAATGTTGCAAAGGTCCATGACTTTCATTGCATATGAGTACTTGGGAATGAAAGATCTTGATGTCATGTTCACCCAGAATGGCTGTTAATTTTCTTCACTTAAGCATTAACCTCAGTATGAAGGAAGAACAGATAATTGAGGGTCGTGACAGTGGTATATTATCTGGCGAACATGAGACCAAGCCAGAGTAACACAATCTCCCCCAAAAATGGATGGTGAGAAGAGACAGCAGTTACCATTGGTAGACAACGTCTTCCTACAGGTAATATCTCACTAGAATCTGAGACAATGGGCATCAAATGATAACGATGATGAACCATGGAGCAGTGCTGTGTTGAGTCTCTTCTAGTTGAGAGGTATACTACTGGAGGAACCATGGTTCACAGAGGAGCCTGGGGTTGCACAGAGCTCATTGTAGCTCTTTAACCCTATCGCCCTGGGTACCCTTTACAAGGTTTTAGTGTCTTACATTCAAAATTTTATTAAACCACTTTTTATTTATGTTATACCAATTAGAATAGTATAAAACCTTAGCTAATAACCCATATTTTAATAGTATATAAGTTTTAAGTTCTTAATTCTACAAGGCAATATTTAAAAAAATCCTAAATTTCCACTAGTGTTACCAAAGTGACACATTTTCTCTTAGCATGTCATCATCCCTATTTTATCCACAACCCCTCGAAAAGTATGAAATTAAACATAAATTACTCTCAGCTCCAACCAACACTAGCATACCCAGGAGTTGATATCCAGATAGCAGTAGGAAGAAAGGTTCCTAGCTGGAGGGGTGAACAGCATGTAGTGGATTCATCCACTATATAACCAGACAGCATCTGGAATTGTTTACAGATTCATCACCTACACTGGCAAAACATCACCACCCTACTCTAAACCCTATTGCCATGGTTATCCTTTACCGTGCATGACATAAGGTTTTATGTCTTACATTCAAAATTTTATTACACTACTTTTTTGTTTATGTTATACCAATTAG